TCTGAGCGAATAACAATGGAAATTGTAAGTCCCAAAGATGTTGCGCGCCCTTGACTAGCACAGCTTCGCTATCGGGGGAGCCGTTTTCCTTTAACAATTGTCCCATCAACCCAGCCGTACGAGCATCATCTACGACCTCGCCGACGACTACCAGAGTCCGAACGCCCGTGCCTGCAAGAGCCGGCACGCTGCTTTCAACCGTGAAATCGGCTAGTTGGCTATATCCAAGCTTCATGAGCTTGAAGGAGAAATTCTGCTTAGTCTCAGCACGGAGCTGCTCGTGCGGCAGCAAGCCCATACGGCTTGTCGCCCAGTCATATGCAGAATCCGGCACCCACGACCCCGTCGCCGCGAGTAAGGGGTATAGCGCCCGAGGATGAGTCGCGAGCCAGTGCTGGTAGCCCTGGAACGGCGTTGCGCCCGAGACGTAGAGAGACATTACGAGCTCGGGGTCGTGTATCGCGAGCTGCATGCCCACAAACCCGCCAGCCGAGACCCCGACCACGTGTGCGCGGCCATTATGCGCGCGATTGCGTATTAGACCCGCAACACGGGATGCGCAGTTGGCGAGGGTGAAGGGACCGCATTCGCGCGAGCCGGAGTGCGCGGGCAGGTCTACCATAAGGATGTGGTAGTCCGTCAGATGCGGGGCGACCAGGCCGAACTCGAGGTTGGAACAGAACAGCCCATGTAGGAATACAATTGTGACTCCTGCTGATGAGTTCATGGAGACGTGAAATAGCTCGGCTGGGTCGTCAGCGTTAGCCATTATGTCCAAGTAATATTTTGTGAAGTCTCGGATACGGCCCTGACAGCTGGTCTATGAGTTTGGGTAATTGTATGAAGGGGGGTCTAGGACTAAGTAGTCCCAATTAAGTATAGCGATTACAATTATTACAATAACATCAACAGAACAGGTTGAACAACTGTAATATCTGTTTCTTCTAATAGTGAACAGTAAAAACTACACGGGATGTAACTTCTACTCTTTTCTTAGAGACACGTTAACGCTCTTTACTTGTCAGATTAATAAAAGCTAGCAGTAGACGATTCTCTAGCAAGGATACGTATCGCATTTGAAGGAAAGCAGATGGCTCGAGATGTGTTGAAGCTCGTTTGAGCCAGATTTGTCTCAAGATTTATAGAATGTTGTCGGCACTCCCAGCAAGATGGAAGCAATGTTTATATATAATGCTTCCAGTCTCCCCTTAAGAAGTGTGCTACAATCGCACAATACTATCTCAAAACTCCAAACTCCAAACTCTCCGAAATCCATATAAGAGCTACTCATAGTCAAGCTATCATTCTATTTCCATCATGAAGCCTGATCCTGTGAAACATGACAGAGCAATCGCATACAGAATGGGGGACAAAGCCCGCCCCTACCTGAAACGAAGCAAATATAGAGCACGAGATTTAATGAACTGCACCGTGGCAAGCTTCTATGAGCGCGATGCAGATGGACTCACACCTCATCAAAGAAGTGCCAAAAGTAATTTCATCGATCTGTTCAATCGCCAGGCTGAAAGACCAATTGAGGAGCTCCATAGCACAGATCTTCGCACCACACTGACGACACTGCTGGAACATTTGGATGAATTTTTCTTCTTTGGATCTCTCACCAAGGGGCCCCATCCGTTGATAAAAGAATTCATAACGGCCCATTTCCCAGAGGGGATTGAAACTCTAGGGCGGTGTACGGAGCTGGAAAACGAAGGCGGCCCCCTTAGTTTTCGCGTCGAGATTGAGCTGCAGAGAGACCACCAGCCAGCCAGTCTTGGTGATATAATCAACACCCTATTGCATGAAATGATACACGCTTTTCTTTCCGGCTTCGTCTGCCGCTGTTTTTCCTGCCGGCGAAACGATAGCAACGCGACCGGCTCATATCTCAGTGGCCACGGCCCGATATTCCGCAGAATGTGCCATGCTACGATGAAGTGTTTGGCGGGCTGGAGTACGGATCTAGGTTCGCTCTTGGAACAGCGGAATGGCAAATTGTACATCCCTAAGGCTTGTATGGAGGACGAAACGGCGCGTCTCCTAGGCGCACAGCAGAGGGGAGAACTGAAAGAGAGGGAAATGCTGCCTTTCAAGAAGAATCCTGGCTATAACCTCCTGATCTGGATCAGTGAGACCAAGGCTTATATCGACGTGGAACGGCTTAGATCACGTGTCGCAAAAACATCTGCACGAGTTGTTGATGCGCCTATGGATGTGTCGCCAAAGCCTGTCGAAGAAAAAGATGTTCAAGAAGAGGCTGTCCGAGAAGAGTCTGTCGAGAAAGAAGATGTCCAAGAAGAGGCTGTCCAAGAAGAGCCAGGCGAAGAAGCCAACCCAGCAAGCGTTCAGAACGATGCTAGGGGAGAAGACACCAAGCCAAACCAGTCTTCCGAAGAGATGACTCCCGATCCCCCTACGATCACCAGATATGAATGCACTGTCATTCATGGAACATTTGTGATCAGCTAGAATCACGCGACAATTCGCACATACAGAGCTGATAAGCATACAGAAGCTTGTATGGCTGGGAAGTAATCAGCGGGTGACCAAACAGCTTGCACCTTACATAGAATCATAGATGACTTCATTGTGGCTCCCGGTAACAATTTGGTAGCACCCGACTAGGTAGTTTTTAAATCATGCTCTTAGAATTAGGAAATAAAAGAAACCATGCATGACCTGAGAGAAGTTCCAAGATGAGTTGATCAGCATTGTCATACTGCCGGTCGGATAAAGGGAGTTGCTTATAGTCCCATCTCATGTCAGACAGTAATTGCTGTTAGGGCGATAATGTTAGAGTTTCTGCGGAATTCGATGTGCCTGGAACGGGGTAGGATAGATTATCAATGTCTTGATTTATTACTTATTTAGTAGTTAAAAGAAATTGGTTGAAACACAACTGATATGCGAATATAGATTTGAATAAATGGGGTGCGAGATCATTTGTGCTCAAGAATTTAATCATGAATGCTCTCTAAAACCCCCTGAATCATCGCGGGATAAAGGCATAACAAAGATATCCATCCCTGGTAGGCGAATGTGGCAGACGACGATAGATGTACCACAAAAGAAGACAGTCGGCCAGTCAGTAGTATGTTACACTCGAAATAAAACAAAGAAAAGACTTCGGACAGTTATCGTACAGTAGCGATATACAGCACAGACAGAAGCACTCAGGTTACCATTCTACTTCATAACGGCCTGCCAGCCCTTACGGCCAATAAATCCCACCACGCCTTCATCTCTTAGAACTTCACTACCCAGCCGGCCGGTGACAACACTCCGTTCGTACTCGACGCCTCGAACGTAGAACGGATAGGCCAGCCGTGACTCATCTGCATCTCCCGCGTCTCTTTTTGTAGTAACCGGACCGCTCTCCCAAATAGTTTTCCCATCTCTGCGCCGCTTGACAAAGCCCGCTTCTTCGCGGTCTAGGGATAAGTACCACCGCCGCTGGTGCACGCTGTGAATGGAGTTGGTCGCGCCCGGGTACGCGTTGGTCCTGCGGACTTCGTCGTCCTCGAGCTCGCGCAGTTCGCGCTCGGTGGGTGAGATGTCCTTGTCCTTGTCCTTCTCGGCCTCTGTGAGCTGCTCGCTCGGGGCATGGACGATGTCTGTATCATCGTCCCCATCCCCATCATCAGTCGTTTTCGTATCTTGTTGTTTCGTTCTGTGTACTGGTTCCGAGTCGGAACTCGTAGTTGGCTCAGGTATTTTCTTGCCTTTGGTGCTGGACCTGGTTATCCTGCCCGATGCTGTAGATTGCGCACCACCGCGTCGTCGCCGTGTCTTAGGGGTACGTGTACTGCGTGCCCGGCCCGTGGCGTCTTCTTCGCGCGTGAGACGTAGGTTTAGCACATAATTTGACGGTAGACGTGCTCCGTGGAGCCGTAACCGGATTTTCCTGGCCGCAAACGCCTGGTGCAGCTTTTGTTGCTCAGTCAGCTGTGGTAGGTCGTGATCTGACTCGCTTGAAGATTGCGAATTGTCCTGGGAAGTGCTGGGCTTTGCTGGTAAGATGGTGTAAGTTCCTGTATCCCAGATGAGAAGCGAGCCAGTGGCATGCGAGGCTGTTTCAATTAGGTGGTTCTGTTGCTCGTCAGTTTAACTGCTGGAAAATTGGATGACGATATGTTACGTACCCATAAACAGTGGATTCGTGTCTCTGTTGCGTTTCGATTCAGTCGGAAACTATTCGGGTCACCCGGAAGACCGTACATGATTGCCCATGATGCGCTGCTTGTCTCATTGATCTGTAACCGTAGATCGTAATGCGTTCCCGCTATTGGATGATCGTGCTGATGGATGATGAAGTGGGACCCTTTTGGATTTCCGGCGTTGGCTTCGTATAGTTTTCGATAGCGTTCCGTAGACAGATGAGGGGTGCCCAGAGGATATAGCGACACGGTAGTTCTGGTTAGAAGCGCATGGAAATAGTCGAGATGATTCTCTATACTTGCTTTTCCAGCTTCAACCGCGGAGGGGGGTGGTTGCTCTATCTCATCTTTGCTGTCATCGGAGCCGGCGGAGCTAGCAGCATCATGAGACTCGCCGGTGATGACAATACTCCATTCGAGGTTTCTCTTCTTGATGAAAGGGTTTGGTACCAATTGTGGGCTGCCTGGCCGCTTGGTAGCCATAGTGAACCATAGAACTGCAGTAGGTGCTGCCGTAGGTTGATTTGTGATAGTAGCAGTTAGAGGCGACAAAGTATATAAAAGCAAGTTATATCTCGTTACCTACCTACTTCCCTAAATGTTATATTGTTCTATCTAACTTCAGCACATTCGCTTTATGATATGAGACAACTGTAGCTTAAAGTTGATGGTACCGCTGGGGAGGCCCTTAGTTAGCATGAGACACCCATATCACCCGCCCCTCCTTGATGGGTTTGGCCCTCTGGTGACTTCTTGTCGGGCCGGGTAAGAAGTTGAGACAAGCGGTCGCGGTTAAAGCTGTCTGCTCAAGTAGCAAAAAGGCAATAAAAAAGAAATTGATGATGAGAGTGGGACTCGAACCCACGCGGATTGCTCCACTGCGAAATTTGTTCAGAGTTTGATACCTACTTGTTTGCACAAGCCTCCTGAACGCAGCGCCATAACCACTCGGCCATCTCACCCTCTTGAACGGTGTCCGCCGTATCCGGATGGGAGGCCGGCCCATAATACTACGTAACAACCCAGATAGCTGAGCAGGAGCAATAAATGCATACAGAATCATTCCTAGGTAGCCGAGGCGAATGTTTAGTGGAATGGCTAACATATTAGTACCTACATGACTAACCGAGGCACTGAAAGATGCTGTAGGCATGCTGGGGCAATGCGACTGGTGGAAAGATGCGAAGGGGTTAACCACTGGGAGTCGATTACCGACTTCTTGAAAATACAAATTGTATTGAGCTAAATCAAGGAACAAAGATCAAAAATGCAACGATAAACCTAACCCCTCCAACAGAGTTTCAATATTGGAACCGTGTCAGCGACTTTCAGTCGGTGGTCCAAAGGCCTGCCGTCGTCGCCTTATGCCCAATTATTACACATGCATATTTTAGACTCGAGCAAATGCGTGCCCGGGCTAACGTTGGAATGCAGAGTAAGTCGGTTAAACCATGCCGATGCCATACCGCCTTTTTTGGTTCACGTTCGAATTACATATATTCCAGCCACAGGTTTCCTCTCAGTCTTGTTGCTGGAGCGCCAGAAGCAAGATAGATCAACGCGCATTCTTCATATTGGTATTAACAAGAAAACTGATCGTTATGGTATCTGGTACACAGCAGAGGCTAATGATCAAGGTAAATGTAGTCTTGCTGTGCTAATGACAGTAATTACGAAAGCGTAAAAACACTTGTACACCTCTTAACGCCATGTCGTGAATTACACTTGAAAGCCTTATGCCAAGTTATGTTTCCTCTCGCCCATTGCCGTGGTGTTTGGGAAACCATGTCTCGAGAATAGGGCTATGTTGCTTCCCCGCTGGCAATTCTCTCCGGATACCTCATCTTCATACCCGTTTCGCCTTTCGGGAGACCAGCTCCTATCGAATCATTTGTACTGCATGGGCTGTTGGCCGTGAGGTTGAGGCGGGCCGCCACCCCAGCCTTGCGGCGGACCTTGATTGTGCATAGGTATGTTGTTTCCGCCGCCCCTCATATTCATAACATCGGGTCTGTTTTCGAGCGGCTGGGCGAAACCGCAAACGTTACAGACGACGTCGTGGTAGCCCTTGAAGGAGAGTGGCAGAACCGGCTATGCGAGGAAGGAGTTAGTACGCACAGATGAAGGTAAAATAGTAAGTCGCATATACGTTTAGACAAGAATCTAAGTCGAGCGAAGGAAATGGAAGGAGGGACTCACAACAAAGCAGAATGTGAACCAGGGGTTGCTCTTGATGACATGGCCGGCGTAGTTGCCGCAATTGTGACACTGACACGTTATGCCCTCATAGCCCTCGACTTGCTTGCGGAAAGTATGCTCGCCGCAGGTGAAGATCAGACACATGATTTAGAGTAGGCTGAGATAATGTTCGCTGGTCGAGGCTATACCGACGAGGTACAGTACACCTAGTAATTCGAGGCTCAAGAGCAAGAAGCGGTAATGCCAATTCGATGTTGCTGGTTGTTCAGATCGAAGCAGTGCTAGACGTCGAAATCGATGATGCAATTTAATAGGTGATGATATTTGGACTCGTAGGATATTGCACAGGTTTATGTGAAAGGGATCGCCGGCCTGGGCGGCGCAAACGGATGTGGTTTCTCATCAATGATGGAACGCCGCGCCACTAAGACGCCCAGAGCGTCGGGTGTAGCAGCGAGGAGCGCTGTGGCGGAGCGCTGAAAAACGTCAGCTGGCGCTGTGACAGCCAACCACAGAGCCAGCCACTACGTACGAAGGGATACGAACTAAGAAATTACTATGCCGATTCTGGCTATAGCGTGACGCAGCTGGATACTAGCCCCACATGAGCTCTGTATCGAGACTTGGAGCTTGTCTTGATAAGAAATTTAGCAGACTTAGACTTAGATTTGGCTCGTCTGACAGCAATCTTGAAATTCAGTTCTCGACCCCTCCAACACATCGAATGCAACACACTCTGCTGCTTGGAACCTCCCAACCGATGCGCCCGCGGGCCCTGTGCCCATAACGCCAATCACCATGCTCTACGACCTCAACATCGTGTGGTCGCCGCACGCCAGCGCGGCCGAGCTCGAGCGCACGCTGCGCTTCAGCGCATCGCTGGGGTACACCGTCGTCGCCTTGAACCACACGATTGGGGCGCCCATTCCACCGCTACTGACGAACCCTATCCCGAAGTTCGATTCTCCGGCTCCTACTTCATCGTCTACATCATCAGCCCCCCCGCCCAAAATGCCTACCGTATTGCGCCGCGCAACCCTCGTGCTCAGCGAGAACAAGCAGCACCACCGGATCCCGCAGCTCGCGGCCGAATACGACATCGTGGCGGTGCGGCCGGTGACGGAGGAGAGCTTCGCGGCCGCGTGCAACAGCCTCGACCACGTGTCCCTCATATCGCTGGACCTGACGGCGCGGCAGCCCTTCCGGTTCCGCCCGAGGCCGTGCATGTGGGCCGTCGACCGCGGCCTGCGCTTCGAGGTCTGCTACGCGCAGGCCCTGCAGGGCCCGGCTCCTACACACGTCCTCGCATCCAAAGGCACCAAGGAATCGTACGGAGGAGGAGGGGCTGGTGGACCCGATGCGCGCGCGCGCGCGACCTTCATCGGGAACTTAGCGGCTTTGGTCCGTGCGACGCGTGGCCGGGGCATTGTGATTAGCAGCGAGGCGCAGTCTGTGCTGGGGCTGCGTGCGCCTGCGGATGTGGTGAATCTGTTTAATGTGTGGGGAATGTCGACGGATCGCGCGAAGGAGGGATTGGGCATGATACCTCGCAGCGTTGTGGTCAACGAGGGCATCAAGCGCAATGGCTTCCGGGGGGTCGTGGAGATTGTTAATCTTGCAGAGGGCGAGCGACCTGACGTCGAGATGGGTGAGGCTGGGCAAGACAGTACTGCTACTCCTGCTGGGAATACGCAGGGCGGTAAGGACAAGAAGAATAAGAACCAAGAAACGAACAACTCCGGAGGGAAGAAGAGGAAGAATGGCGATAATTCTGGAGCCTCTACTACCCCAGCGAACCCAGACGGTAATGGTGAGGGCCAGCCAATAAGTAAACGCCAAGCAAAGAGAGATAGAGTCGCTCTGCGGGAACAACAAGCGAAAGAAAAAGCAGCAGCTGGATCATGACTACCTACTGTATATAGTAGGAAACTTATTTTAACCCACCCTACGACCAATGATGTTTATATACGGACGGAAAGGGAAACTGGAGTTCTGGGCAACCGGCTTCGAGGAGGAAAAGCAAACTGAACTTATGATACCCCTGAATAGAATTGCTACTTTATTGCCGACGATTACGTGCCGCGGATTTGTGATTAGAGGCGCGGGTGCAAAGCTTGAAAATATGAAGTAGTAAAGTAATCTAATACTGCGCCTAATGGTAGGCATATAGTTCTAAAAGAGCAGCCTCCTTCTAACAGATGTTCCCAATTAGACCTCAATGGGCTAATGGTAAAAAAGTCGGCAGACAAATTCCTAAAGGAGTTTTCTGGTCGAAGCGGGGCACGCAAATTGCAACAGGTTCGGACATGCATGGTACAAGCAATCACATGGTCGAGCGCCCGGCTTCGGTTCTTTTTTTTTTTTTTTTTTTTTTTTTGACCTCATATAATATTTATCAATCTCCCAGATCCTACATTCAATGAAGTGTAGTTCCGCAGTGCTGTCCCGGAGGACGAATAGTGCACGTCTAACAGGTAAGATATTGGTATAATTAGATATATATACTGCTAAGTAGGTATATATCGGAACAACTATCCTGCAGAAACATATATACGGCCTCGCCCTCTCCCCTATCTAAGACCGCTACACAACCAAATCCGGCACCGATCCTTAATTCCCCAGGTGAGGTAATCAGCCGACGGGACCGAGATTTATCACAGAGTTCAGAGCGACGCCGCTGAAATTAATCGGCGGCCCCTCATTGGCGCCCGCGAACGTCGTTGCCGTGAGGGCGGCGACCAGCTCGGGTGCGAGATTCACGGGCGGCGCAGCAGCGGGGGCTGGCGTCTCTTGCGATGCCGGCAGCGCGATCGAGGATTGTCCTTGCCCTTGCCCTGCTGCTGCTGCTGTAGTGGCCTGCGGTACGGACTGAGTAGGCTCAGGAGGAAGCGCAATTGATGATAAACCCGTTGGTGGTACCGGATCTGCGGATGGAGTTGTTGCCGCGGCGGATGATGCGTCGAGCGATGAGGTGGTTTCTGGCGGCGCGCTGGAACTACTGGAACTTGGGATCGCTGCCTCTGAGCTTGATGTCGAAACTACTGCGGCCGTTACTAACGTGCTGGTATCTACGGCCGCGGGACTTGAGGGTGTTGCTTCTGGCGTGCTTGATACTTCAGCAGTCGATGGGCTTGGATCTGCAACGCTTGGACTCGGTGCTGAACTGGCTGCTGCGGCAGAAGTGCTGGGATTTACAGCGGCTGAGGTTGGCGAAGCAGTGTCAATAACATTCGAGGTGCTGGGCAGCACAGCGGTCGCGAGAGACGTTGGTGACGGGTCAAATGGTTGTATGGAAGACTCCTGCGAAGGCACTCCTTGAGGTACGTCAGGCACCGCTATTCATAGTTAGCGAATTACTTTCGTTTCTTCGGACTGCACGGGATTTATCTTACAAATAGAGGTAGCTGAACTAATGGCCGGGGGTACTGAAGCTGCTGAGGTTGTCACGTCTTGAACTGTGTCTGTCGCGACAACCGGGAGAGATGAGGCGGCTGCAGCAGATGAAGCGGCTGCTTGGCCCGATGAGACAACTTCTGCGATTGAAGAGGCGATCGACAAGGCCTGGGGCGTCGGAAATGGAATTCCATAAGGAGTCCCGCAAGCGATCAGCTGCATCAGTGTCGTGGTCGCTAGCTCTGTGACCGTCACCTGCCTTTCGACGGGGTCAATCTTTATTCACTCTATCATTCGGTATATCCACATACCCTGCAACATTCTCAGCGGCCACGGCAGCTTGGGTGACCGTAATTGTCGCTGTCTCTGT